GATGTGGAAGCATTGGAAAGGGTGCAGAGGAGATTTACCAGGATGTTGCCTGGTATGGAGGGAAGGTCTTATGAGGAAAGGCTGAGGGACTTGAGGCTGTTTTTGTTAGAGAGAAGGTTAAGAGTTGACTTAATAGAGACATACAAGATGCTCAGAGGATTAGATAGGGTGGACAGTGAGAGCCTTTTTCCTCGGATGGTGATGGCTAGCATGAGGGGACATAGCTTTAAATTGAGGGGTGATAGATATAGGACAGATGTCAGAGGTAGGTTCTTTACTCAGAGAGTAGTAAGGGCGTGGAATGCCCTGCCTGCAACAGTAGTAGACTCGCCAACTTTAAGGGCATTTAAATGGTCATTGGATAAACATATGGATGATAATGGAATACTGTAGGTTAGATGGCTTCAGATTGGTTTCACAGGTCGGCGCAATATCGAGGGCCGAAGGGCCTGTACTGCGCTGTAATGTTCTATGTTCTAACCTTATGCTGGCCCTGTGCTGGGAGTTATTGATAGGGACAGTATCGATGCAGGCTTAATTTTCAGTTTAAAAAAGTAGAAGAAGCTTTACTCTGTATCCAACCTTGTGATGGGGACAGTGTATTTTGTTTCTTTCCATTTAAAAGAACAGAGGGGACTTTACCTTCAGTTTAAAACATTGGAGGAATGTTACTTGCAGCTTAAAAGAGCGCAATCTATAGATTACAACGGAATGTCAGTCTACAGTTTTGAGTTCCAATCCTCCTCAGTGACCACTTTGTGCTGAGATACAGTGACTCATTCTAAGATCAATTTCTATGTCTGGGTCTGTTGATTACCTTCCCCTGGGCCTCACCTGCACACTGTCACCACAATGCCAAGCACAGTGATGGCCGTCAGGATGTGCTGCACTGTGAGCACGTCCTCATCGTAGACAGTGAGGGCGATGAGGACTGCCAGGATGGAGCCTGAGAAGAAGGCCAGGTTCTGGGCGAAGACGGTGAGCAGTGGTGAAGTGAAGGAGTTCATGTACTTGGTTGCAGGTTTGTAGCCTCGGCTGAGTCGGGCCTGCAGCTCGTGGTCCAACTCGTTGAAGTGCCGGAGATATAGACGCCCAAAGAGGGACCAACGGCGGGCCCCCAGGCTGCCCGGCTCTCTCTTGATCACCTCTGTGTAACTGAAGAAGGCATAGAGGATCTGCCACACCAGGATGAAGGGGCAAAGTAGGAGGTTGGCAATGCCAATTAACAGCACCGTGCGGCTGAGCTGCCGTGCCAGTTCTAATCGGCTTCCAGAACGCTTGTACTTGGGATGAAGGTTCCATTTATTCTGGAAGAGAGATCCAGGGCCCCAGAAGAAGATCATCTCAAAATTGTACTTGAGGCCTTGGGAGAAGAAGATGGTGTCGCCCATTAATGGGAGGCTGAGACGTACGGGTAGCAGCGACTTGTTCACCATGGCCACCATGTAATTCTTGAAGCGGAGGATGCGATGGTAGATATCGAGCTCAGTCAGCTCCTTCTTGTGGATGCACATCTGTTGCTCTCGCTGCAGCAGGATCAGACGGGCTTGCACCTCTTGCCAGCTGTAGTTACACAACTCGACCTGGAGAAGGCAGCAACAGAATGTTAACACTTGAAATGATACTCACGGTGAGATAGTGGCTTTGTTATCAGACTCACAACTCAAACCTGGGCCACAGAACATAGAGTACAAATCCTAACACAGGCAATTTGAAAAAAACATTAGTCTGTCTCCAATGCAATAGATGGCAAGATGGCAGCAGAGTAGGACGCTCTGGCCAGAGCTCCTCTGCTTGCCAGTCCCTTTCCCTTTCCCTTTGTTTTTTTCTCCTCTTTGTAACATTTTTTCTTCAACACCCCCCCCTCCTCCCATCCTACCTGGAGAGTGGAGTCAAGGAGCAAAGCAAGCACGGGCTGAGACCCGTGGAGGAGTGGCGCAAGCACAGGCCAAGTCCTGCAGTGGATTGGAATGAGCACGGGTGGAGCAAGTCCTGGATGGAGACTGGCACGTGGAGGCAGTGTGGCCTCGTGCTCTGGGGCCTACAGGCATGGACGAGAACTTAAGTACTTTTGGTCACTTATTATCGTTCTGGACTTTTTCACTGTCTCATGCTAATCTATATGCTTTTTTAATTTGTAACAGCACTATACTTTTATACTCTAAGATTGAGGAGGTGATGGCCTAGTGGTATTATTGCCAGACTGTTAATCCAGAGACCCAGATAACAATCTGGGGATGCGGGTTCGAATCCCACAATGGCAGATAGCAGAATGTGAATTCAATAAAAATACGTGGAATTAAGAATCTAATGATGACCATGAATCCATTGTCAATTGTCGGAAAAACCCATCTGGTTTATTAATGCCCTTTAGGGAAGGAAACCACCAACCTTACCCAGTCTGGCCTACATGTGACTCCGGACCCACAGCAACGTGGTTGTCTCTTAACTGCCCATCTGGGCAATTAGGGATGGGCAATAAACGTTGCCTGGCCAGAGACGCCCTCATCCCTGTTAATGTATAAAGAAAAAAAAATTTGTACCTAGGTACTTGTACATAAGATGGCGCCATTACAGGCAGCCATTGTAAAAACTTTTCACTATACTCTTGTACTTCTGTACTAGAGAACGTGACAATAAAGGAACTTCTTTATTCTACTCTATTCTAGTTATTAGTAGCCCTCTGAACCTGCCAAGACAGAAACTCAGTTTTATCGAACTGCTACAAGGTTCCAACACCAACTTATCAAGGCAACTATGACTGACATGCTGACATGCCAAAACAGTGAATATGTACAAGAAGAGACTGAAACACTGATACACCTGAACACAGAACCTGTTCAAAGTATTCTGAACAGGCTCCTGTTAATTGAGCAGCGAGGTATGGTTCATACCGTAGGGATCTTCAGTGCTTTGATGTAGAATGTTCTGATTTCCCAGTAACTCAGCAGATTGCAGATGACTTTGACCAAGCGGTACACCCAGAACACTGCAGCCATGGTCAGAAGAAAGATAATCCAACCATTCTTCTGAATCCTAGGAATAGATGGAAGAAGATAAGAGGTAGCAGAAATCAGGATTAGGAGGGAATCCATGCATCTTGCTGATTTCAAAAATAAAAAAAGGTTTACTTGGCAGGTTCCAGATCTCCAACTATCTCGACTCCATTTTCTCCCCCTTGGTCCAGGAACTCCCTACCTATGTCCGTGACACCACCCACGCCCTCCACCTCCTCCAGAACTTCCAATTCCCCGGTCCCCAACACCTCATCTTTACCATGGACGTCCAGTCCCTCTACACCTGCATTCCCCATGCAGATGGCCTTAAGGCCCTCCGCTTCTTCTTGTCCCGCAGGCCCGACCAGTCCCCCTCCACTGACACCCTCATCCGCTTAGCCGAACTCGTCCTCACACTCAACAACTTCTCTTTCAATTCCTCCCACTTCCTACAGACAAAGGGGGTAGCCATGGGTACCCGCATGGGCCCAAGCTACGCCTGCCTCTTTGTAGGTTACGTGGAACAATCCCTCTTCCGTACCTACACCGGCCCTAAACCCCACCTCTTCCTCCGTTACATTGATGACTGTATCGGTGCCGCCTCGTGCTCCCACGAGGAGCTCGAACAGTTCATACACTTCACTAACACCTTCCACCCCAACCTTAAATTTACCTGGACCATCTCTAACACCTCTCTCCCCTTCCTGGACCTCTCTGTCTCCATATCGGGCAACCACCTCGAAACCGATATTCATTTCAAGCCCACCGACTCCCACAGCTACCTAGAATACTCCTCCTCCCACCCACCTTCCTGCAAAAATGCTATCCCCTATTCCCAATTCCTTCGCCTCCGCCGCATCTGCTCCCAGGATGAGGCATTCCACTCCCGTACATCTCAGTTGTCCTCGTTTTTCAAGGACCGTAACTTCCCCTCCTCGGTGGTCGAGAACGCCCTCAACCGTGTCTCCCACATCTCCCGCACCTCATCCCTCACACCCCGTCCACGCAATAAAAACCAAAAAAGAATCCCCCTCGTCCTCACGTACCACCCCACCAACCTCCGGATCCAACGCATCATCCTCCGACACTTCCGCCATCTGCAATCCGACCCCACCACCAAAGACATCTTTCCCTCCCCACCTTTATCTGCTTTCCGGAGGGACAACTCTCTCCGTGACTCCCTTGTCCGCTCCACACTCCCCTCCAGCTCCACCACACCCGGCACTTTTCCCTGCAACCGCAGGAAGTGCTACACCTGCCCCCATACCTCCTCCCTCACCCCCATCCCAGGCCCCAAGAAGACTTTCCACATCAAGCAGATGTTCACCTGCACATCTGCCAATGTGGTATACTGCATCCGCTGTACCCGGTGTGGCTTCCTCTACATCGGGGAAACCAAGCGGAGACTCGGGGACCGCTTTGCAGAACACTTACGCTCGGTTCGCAACAAACAACTGCACCTCCCGGTCGCGAACCATTTCAACTCCCCCTCCCATTCCTCAGACGACATGTCCATCCTGGGCCTCCTGCAGTGCCACAACGATGCCACCCGAAGGTTGCAGGAACAGCAACTCATATTCCGCTTGGGAACCCTGCAGCCCAATGGTATCAATGTGGATTTCACAAGTTTCAAAATCTCCCCTCCCCCCACCGCATCCCAAAACCAGTCCAACTCGTCCCTGCCTCCCTAACCTGTTCTTCCTCCCACCTATCCCCTCCTCCCACCTCAAGCCGCACCTCCATCTCCTACCGACCAACCTCATCCCGCCCCCTTGACCTGTCCGTCCTCCCTGGACTGACCTATCCCCTTCCTAACTCCCTACCTACACTCACCTTTCCTGGCCCCATCCCCGCCTCTTCGACCTGTTTGTTTCCTCTCCACCTATCCTCTCCTCTATCCCTCTTCTATCCGCCTCCCACTCTCTCCCTATTTATTTCAAAACCCCCTTCCCCTCCCCCTTTTCTGATGAAGGGTCGAGGCCCGAAACGTCAGCCTCTCTGCTCCTATGATGCTGCTTGGCCTGCTGTGTTCATCCAGCCCTGCACCTTGTTGTCTCGTTTACTTGGCAGGTTGGCTGTTTAGCACTGTTTGATGGCTATTTTTATGAAATGCAGAGTCACAGAGTTATAAAAGAGGCCCTTTGGCCCATTCAGACTGTGTTGATTTATCTACACTAATCCCACCACCCAGAGATTGGCCCATGGCCTTGAATGTCATGACATTTTAAGTGCTCATCCAAGTACTTTTTCCAAGGTTGTGAAGTTTCCCACCTCGTCTACCCTCCCAGAGAGCACGTTTCTGATTCACCCTCTCGGTGAAGAAAATCTTTCTCAAATTCCCTCGCCACCTTTTGCCCTACATTTTTGTTATTAACCCTTCAACTGAGGGGAACAACTGCTTCGTCTCCACCCTGTGCACATCCATCATGAGAACTGGGATCAGCAGGAGGCCATTCAGCCTTCACCTCTGAATGAGGTCATGGTTAATCTACTTCAGTACCATTTTCCTACACATATCCCAAGTTTTAACCTGTAGGAATCTATCAATCTCAGTCTTGAACATACTCAATAACTTTTCTCCAGAGGATGGTGGAAGCTCAAAATTCCAAAGATTCATCACCCTGTGAGGAAGGAAATTCCCCTTCAGCTCAGTCTTAAATGGCCTCCCTCTTATTTTGAGACATGGCCCCCTGATTCTTGGTCCTCTAGCCCAGGGAAATCATTCCCTGAGCCTCTCCCTGTTTAAGAGATACTTTGTATTACTGTTTATCCCACCAAAGGGGATAACCTCTCATTTCTCCACATTGTATTCCATTGCCACTCAGCCTCTCCAAATCTATTCAAAGTGTCTTTATGTCTCACACTCCCACCTAGCTCTGTGCCATCTGTAAACTTTCACTTACGTACAATTTTGTTATTGCTTCAAACTCATTTTTCTCCTAAAGTTTGCATTTACAGTTGCTGTAGAAAATTTCACCTTTTTGAAGGGTCACTGGACCTGAAACCACAGATGCTACCAGACCTGTAGAGCTTTTCTAGCAATTTCTGCTCGTTTCTGATTTCCAGCATCCACATTCTTTGGTTTTTTTTTTAAAATCTTTCCGAAATTATTTCACCAGGACCCACCAACAAGAGGGAAAAATGGCGATGTTCCCTCCATATCCTACGCAAAATGACGAAACAAACACATTGCAAACCATTCTTCACATAGGCAGGGAAACTGTACCAGTTCTGCGACTCCCAGAATTCACTTCCAGGAATGGGCAGCAAAAACAAAAACACCTCTTAGCAAACCCTGAGACAGCAGCAGAACATGAAATCAATACTTTCATTTAAAGGTTATTATTAAACTGACATTCAGCATATAGCTAAAATTGACTCCTGGTACTTACATTCCTGGAATTCAATTCGTGGTAACATCGAAAGCAAGTAGTATTGGCTGTGTGCTATACAGAATCAGAGACTATTACCCGCCTCACTCAATAATACTGCCCTGTACACCGTATAGAATCAGAAACGATCACTGTCCTTATCTGTGGTACAGAATGTACTTATTAGACTGCTTGGCATATTAATTTTGCATAGGCAGAGGGGAGTGTGTGAATATTAGTGTGTCAGAGACTGTGCTGAAGTCAGGGGGCAGCAGTGAGTCAATACCAGAGAGGTGGGGCTTTGAAATAAGTACATGGAAAGCAGTCATTGGCCGACAAGATATTGTAAACACAGGGGATTCTTCTGCGACCAGCCAGTCACCCATCATCTTAGCTCAGAACACAACAAGAAACAGCTGGATAAACATTTGTGTATTAGATATCACAGTGTTTGAATCTCTTGGCATCACCCATCCCCAGGGTAAATGGTTTCCCCCACAGCTTCATACATCCTACATTCTCAGGGCACAGAGTTAGTAAATGATGTGCCCTTTGCAAAAAGTGGATAGGAAGAGTGCTAGAATGAGAGTTGGGAATAACAAGGAGCGGAAGCAAGGACCGGGATGAGAATGGGAGTAAGTCAGAGAGAGAGGAGAAAGAGGAGAGAGAGAGAGAGAGAGAGAGAGAGAGAGAGAGAGAGAGAGAGAGAGAGTCAGATAGGCACGTGGAGATGGACAGCGAGATAGGAAAGAGGAGAGGGACAAGGTGAGCTCTGTATAGAGCGGGAGAGAGGCAACACTGGGCCAGTCACTTGTTATCATCACTGCTTGTGAAAGTGCTAGCGCACTGTCTTGGTGACTTGGTCAACCAATGTCAAAGGGCAGAAAGAATCACATGGATGAGGGTCTGGAGTCACAGAGAGCTAGAGCAGCTAATGATGACAGATTTGTTTCAATGGACTTTTACAACAATCAGATCATTTAATTCTATATTTATTTAGTTCACTGATTTAATGTGGGAATAGAAAATCAGTATAATGTTTAGACAGAAAGAGATTGCAGAATGATGTGGGAAAGAGAAATTTGGATATCCTTGTACATGAATCACAAAACATTAACATGCAGGCACAGCAAGTGATTTGTAAGGATTTTATTGCAATAGGCTGAAGTATACAAGTAGGAATGTTTTGCATACTACTTTCTCATTTAGCTCTTTACCAGCTCTGAAAAGCGATTAGAGATCGGAAATAAATGTTTGGCCTTACCAGACATGTTCACATCCCATGAAAACAAAAATGGGAAAAGATATATTGACTTTGGAAAATGTGCAGCACAGATTAACCGGAAATGCTTCCAGGACTCAGAGATGATGGGAAATTGTACAGAATTGTGGTCCCGAGAGTATAGAAGCTGAAAAGGTGATTTGAATGAAGTTTGTAGGGTTTATAAAGGAACTGACTGAAGGAGAACATAGAACATAGAACAGTACAGCACAATGTTGTGCCGAACTTTTACCCTAATCCTAAGGTCTATGTAACATCCACCCCTACCTTATACTATCATCCATATGCCTATCTAATAGCCGCTTAAATGCCCCTAATGAGGCTGACTCCACTACCCGCTCCGGCAATGCATTCCACATCCCAACCACTCTGAGTAAAGAACC